ACATGGACACCTGTATAAATATATATATATATATATATATATATATATATATATATATATATATATATATATATATATATATTAGAACTTAAGGTAATAACAAATGGAGACTATGAGGATATGGGGATATGAAAGATGACAATTGACCCTTGATTTGAACAAGTCCTTAGTGAAGTGTTCAGGGAACCACCCACATTGGAGTCTGTCGCATAAATGACTATTCTCTTCTTACTTATGGAAAATGGATGGAATGAAGGAAGATATAACCTCATGGAAATAGGGAATAAAAAGCCCTCACCCTGATGTGATATTGAACCCTATCAAGGCTGGAAATGAAGCCGGAGCTGTTCCATCTCATATATGGCTGCAATAATCCACTTTTGGTTTAATCCGAGTCTTATAAAGATTAACCATAGTAGAACGATCATTTAGTTTGTGCAGCGACTGAAAGAGACTATCATTTCTCCATAACCTTTGATATTGGATTCAATATAAATGTTTTAACTGGGGTCTGAAGTGACATTGAGAACTATGTGATGTTCCATTTAGGTTTATTTTCAAAGATAATCCCACGTCGAAACGACGATGCAGGAATTTATTTTTCTTTTTTTTTTCTGGTCTAATTTCCAAATAGCTTATTGTGTTATTGGTTTTGTTTATTTGATTTATTTTGTTGAGCGGCATATAAACTTTTTATGGGTCATTTAATGACGAAATTTTATTTCTTTGTGACCCTCGGTAACCCCCACAAAAAAGATATAGCTGGTAATTTTTCATAACTATGAAAATATATTGCTAGTAATTTTTTCTCGTAGATTTTCATATTTGTATTTTGTCCTCAGTTTGTGTGCTCACTATTTGTCCATAGCTGGGCAACCCCCACTAACAGGTGCTACCACCCCATGTCAGGGTGGACCTAGGAACAGGAACAATTAAGTGGTGGTTCAACCCTCCTCGAAACCTTTCGATCAAAGATCTTGCTGCCTGATGTAGTTTATCGTCACACCAAGGACGAAGTTTATCAGAAAAAAAGAGAATGTTTACAGTTTCAACATTTTAGAAAGAAATAACAAACACACACACACACACACACACATATATATATATATATATATATATATATATATATATATATATATATATATATATATATATATACGTCATGAGTTCCAGCGCCATACGAGGCTGGCATCCCGCTCTCATCCCTTCACTGTCGAAACTCCTAAATGTAGCCGTCTCTTCTACTCTAATAGCTTCATGTCTCGCACCTCTCGCCTGTGGAACTCCCTTCCCTTTTCCTGTTTCCCTGTGAGCTATAATCTCAAGCTATACAAGTGTAATGTCAATCGACATCTCAGTTGCCTTGATCTATCCACTACCCTCATCCTTTCTTCTATCACTCCTATCTGATCTTGCTCTAAATTTTCTGTAACCCCTTGCGTCCTAGTGGCTTCCCGCCTTGCTTGGGTTGAAAGGCTTAAATATATATATATATATATATATATATATATATATATATATATATATATATATCTGAAAACGAAAATCCAACACTTATTGATATTAACTACGAACACGGCCACAGTGTGCTATCCGTGTTCGGAAAAAAAATATATCTATAATACTGAAAATATACACACACCCATGTAAATTGAGAAAATAAAATCCTCCTTGATAATGGCTAATGTTAAAGAGCTCGGAATTATAGAACATTTAGACAGTTTCTACATACTTAAAAGTTTACTTGCTGTACCTTGTCTCTCGTATTTAAAGAAACATGCATAAATGAAGGATTGCTGCCTAAGTGCTATATATATATATATATATATATGTGTGTGTGTGTGTGTGTGTGTGTGTGTGTCTGTGTGTCTGTGAGTCTGTGTGTGTCCGTGTGCGCGCGCTCCATGGAGTATATATGTACGTGTGTTTGAAATATACCTCATGCTGTGTCAGTGCCAATTAGATAGTGTAATATCGATGTATAATAACCGAGCTATAATTTATATTAATAATAAATATGCATTTTTTATCCTCCCCGATAGCATAATTTTTCTTGCCATTGCAATCGTGAGGTGTTGATTGAAAACTGACAGTTGCAGAATTTAAATATTGTTATTTATCCCGTATTGTAATTATTATGAAGCAGTTCATTTATTTTACGGTAGATTAAAAATATATATATATATATATATATATATATATATATATATATATATATATATATATATATAAACTAACATATCAGCAAATGCAAATATACGAGTACAACATTAATTTAAATATACGCATCTAATATGAAATTTCAAATATAATACAAATGTATACACAAATATACATATTCAATTCTATTATACACCTGCACATTTGTATATATATATATATACGAAGCTGTATATCAGTCAGTTATGTGTCATGCGTTTCTTTCAATACATGACTGACGAGGCATTTTTCCCCGCAATAGGTTGCAATTTCTTTCTACTGTAGACCAGTTGCCATCCAAGACTATAGAACCCGCTCTGATTTACTATTTACCCATAGGTGGTGGGGTGGGGCGGAGAAGAAAAAAGATTCATACCTTTCCCAAGTGTAATACCACGTAAGTGAATGTAATCGATTTGACTGGAACGCTTCGAATCCTCAGTCCGATTCGCTATACATTACTACACCGTGTCACCGGTGTATATAGAAAAATTTATTTATAATATCACTATACATATAAAAATCCTCGCTATTGTATTCATGCAAAAATATAAATGCATGCAGGGATAAATGTAGATTTATATACGTCTATTCATATTCATATATATATATATATATATATATATATATATATATATATATATATATATATATATATATATATATATATATGTATGAAGAAATATAGTTTTAAGGTGTGCTATATTTATTGAATAACGTGCTCAATATCAGGGATAGAGCGTATGTAAATATAAATATAAAAGTGAACATTGAAAAAGGCGGCCTGACGATTGCGTCCAGCATGAAACAGTCTGTCGCTTCTGAGTGTTGACTACAATTTTCACTTATATATATATATATATATATATATATATATATATAGAGAGAGAGAGAGAGAGAGAGAGAGAGAGACGAAAGTATTTGTACACCCATCAAGCTTTTTATATCTTAATAAGCTGACAATTTTTTTATATCTTAAAAATAATATAAAACTCAATTTTCAAAACAATAGGTTAAATGCAACAAATTTGACAGGTGTATTATGCAAATTAGGAAAAGACAAAATTATTCGTACTGTGTGGAAAATAGAAAACAATGATCAATTTTCACAATATTAATTGTCAATACCATGACCTCTCCTCTGTACAAATTGCTGCAAACGTTTTCTAAGGTTATTGATGAGTTTTTCTTTTTTTTTCTGGGATTTTCTTCAATACTCCACCCAGGCCTGACGATTGCGTCCAACATGAAACAGCCTCTCGCCTCTAAGTATTGACTTCAATGATCACGTTTATATATATATATATATATATATATATATATATATATATATATATATATATATATAATATATTAATATTAAAAAGAGAATTTTTAACGGTTCATGGAATATAATTTATTTCCTTACGAACGGATTTTTTACCTAATTCATCAGCTCTCCATTTTCGTACAATATATATATATATATATATATATATATATATATATATATATATATATATATATATATGCATATGCATATGTATATGCTATATGTATATATATATATATATATATATATATATATATATATATATATATATATATATATATATATATATATATATATATATATATTCAAGTATATATGTATGTATATATATATGTGTGTGTGTGTGTGTGTTTCATAAATAAAACCTTCAGGTATAAGAATTTGGAAACATTGAAGAATGGAAGAAAATCCCAGAAAATATTTGCTTAAATCTCATCAAAACCATTAGAAACCCGCTACATCAAGTTATAAGGATGAGAGTCTATTGATTATTAATATCCTGAAAATTGTTATTTTTTTGTCTATTTGTCATACGGTATGAATAATTTTGTCTTTTCATATTTTGCATAATTCGCTTCTCAAATTTGTTGTATTTAACCAATTGTTCTGAAAATTGAGTTTTATTTGCTTTCTTCTCTGCCTATTAACATATAAAAAAAACCTGGGCATACGGGCATTAGATTCTGAGAAATGGATAAAAACGTTCAAGATTAATGATGCGTACGAATAATTTCGTCGTTGACCGTATGTACAATAATTGGCAGCTATCCTCTATCATAAGAGGAAAGGTGATTTTTTTTTAATCTTGCGAGAACAGGAAAAAGAAAAACATTATTAGACAGAGGAAACAATAAAGGAAAAATATAACGATTGACATTGCATCATTCTTTGAAGATAAAAGTTGACTCATAAGGAGGAGCCGGAGAAGAGTTCCACAAGCGAGAAGTGTGAGAGAAGAAAGTGTTAGCACAGAACTTACGGTTACGTCTAGCCAATTCCAAATTTAAAGCTTGCCATTAACTTAGTACAACGCTTAAATTCATAAAAGCTAGGTACCATAGCGAAGAGTTTATCCGAATAATTACCATATTCATATAAAAGGCATAGCGAAGCTACCTTACGGCTGTGGGGAAGTGACTGAAACTGAGATGCCAGGTGATGACCAATAATATTGCTAAATCTCTTTTGGATTTTATCAAGAATCTCTAAATATACAGCAGAAGCAACGTACCATATGCGGTAGTAGATTTCAAAGCATGGACGGATGTTAGACTTACAAATATGAAAGAGAAAATTGGTCTAGCACAACACAGTGGAGCAAATATCTCAACGGTTAACATAGCAATTGATTCAATATAATCTATCCACTCAAATAGAGAGATATTTGGATTTATTTATTTGTTTTTTACGGTTTATCAAACTTTTCCAGGTTTTTCAAGACTATATTGTAAGGATTTTGTGAAGATATAATTCCCTGATACAAGTTAACCTATAGCCGGAGGAAGAAGAGATGTTTATACATTTCTCGGGGGCATTTATTTGGAAAAGAACGTGGCTGGATATGGAGGAGGCTATTGTCTATTAAAAAAAGCGTTAGCACGTTATTTATGTCCTTAAATATAGTGAGATTAATACTTTGTGCCAGATGTTTGATGTGGAGTGCTTCTCTTGTATATAAAAGAATGCGATAGATAGATAGATAGAAAGAACAGACTGAGATAGATATGAACAGACTAAGATAGATATGAACACACTGAGATAGATAGATAGATAGATAGATAGAAACGAACAGACTGATAGATAGATAGATAGATAGATAGATAGAAACGAACAGACTGATAGATAGATAGATAGATAGATAGATAGATAGATAGATAGATAGATAGATAGATGTGAAAAGACTTTGATAGATGAATAAAAGTCTGTTTAATATCTCGGCAGCGCCTTCAAACTGATTGCCTGTAATGCTTGTATTTATGAGGTATCCAAAAACCGACATTTTCTTCTCTATTCAATAAATTTAACTATATTATAATGACCCGGTGTATTGCCTTTTTCACAAACAATTTCGACGATTGTCCACTTTTTTTGCGATTTCATTCGGCGGTATCCTTTTATTATTTCGAAGAAAACAATGAAATAATAAAAGGTTTCCCATGCATAACAACATATTTGAAGACATAGCTAGTATAATTACGCCCGCGTATAACTTACCCATGTGAAAGCAGGTATGAATAAAGTACCATGTAGAAACGCTATCAGCTGTAGATAGGCGTGTTTATCCATAGAGATACATGTAGAATTAGATATTCATATATCAACATACGTACATGTCGGGGATAAATTAAACAAAAGCAGTCATAATTAACGGGCTCTGCTTGATAATTTTAGGGTTTTGATGGAAGTAAATGTCAAGCCATGAATTTGAATAGTCGAACTGGTATTTTCGCTTTGATTAATCGCCATATAGTAAAGCATAAACCTCGTTTCGAAAATAAGACTGCATTTAAATGCAGAGGAAACTGGTAATTTATAAATCTAGAAAAAATGTACTGGAAATATAAATATATTGTGTGTCGTGTGTTTAGCAATTTCAACAGTCCTAAAGTTATATGTATGCATATATATGTATATGGTGGTAATAAAGTCTCTATACAGTTACTTAAAATAACAATTAAGATAAATCAATTAATTAACAGTCTAGTAATTTATTACTAAAATGGTTCTGGTTAATAATGAAATGGCCGATATTGTTCGAAATGCAAGCCACCTGCTTCAATAATGCTTTGCTTTTTTATTATAAGAAACTGTATAGTGACTTTATTGCCAAACTATATATATATATATATATATATATATATATATATTAAGACTTTTTATGTTTATACATTCTTTTTATAGATGGTATTTATCAATCCACCCACTGGGATCGAATGTGGGCACAAGGCCTTTTTAATGTGGGTATCTCTGAGCCCGTAGGCCCAGCCAAAAATAAAAAATAAACCCGCCGAGGCGGCCAGTTCCGGTCAACCTCCCCCAACGAAAATATCCAAACCTGGGCCGAGGCGACAGACACCCAACCCGGGCCAGTTCCGTCATTCTTTTAGAGATGGTATTTATCCCAACGAAATGTGGCACAAGGCCCCTACCTCTTCAAAAATAAAGAGAGTTCCGTCAACCTCCCCTAACGAAACCCTACCTTCGGCAGCTTCGTCTTCCTCTCTGCAAGCAGAGTTCGACAGACACCCGACCCGGCAGCTCACAAAGCGCAGATACTACACTTTGATCCTCGTCACCGGGCCGAGCGGGTATTCTTTTTAGAGATGGTATTTATCAATCCACCCACGGGGATCGAATGTGGCACAAGGCCTTTTTAATGTGTGTATCTCTGAGCCCGTAGGCCCAGCCAAAAATAAATAACCATCCAAACCCGCCGAGGCGGGCCAGTTCCATCAACCTCCCCCAACGAAACCCTACCCTTCGGCAGAGCTATATATATATATATATATATATATGTGTGTGCTATTGTATGTGCTGGTAAACTGTAAAATACTGAAAAGTTTTATGCGTTTTAGAATTACACGAAGCAAAATATAGATGGTATGATAGAGTACTTTCCAAAACTTTATTCAAAAAACTATATATAAAATTCTGTGGCTTCCGTCACTCCGTCCGCCTCAAAAATAGACATACATTGACCATTCGAAAGCAACTTTTGGTGAGAATTGCAAACATGTAAGGGGCTACAGCATACAGTTTGTTTTACTAGGGTGCATAACTTTGTGCAATAAATTATCATTCATTTTTTGGGAAAAATTAAAAATTTTATCATTTAACATACAAAAATACTCCCACTATTTTAAAAACAATATGTTGATTAAAATAACAAAGACTTATTTAATAAAAATGAAATATTGTATTTTTTTTTACATAACATTTATTTAAGCTTTTAAAGAAATAAAAAAAACTCCAGTTTTCCGTTTGCTCTGAGTATGCGAGAAATATACACAAAACTCATGGTCAAATGTTTCAAAATTTGCTCTTTGTCTCCATAAAGAAATATTTACGAATGACCATTTGTATGTTGCGTGCTCAAGAGTAAGAAATCCAAAGAAATTATTCTTAGCTGTTAAAAAGGGAAATGGAAACATTATGTTTTTTTAAATTATTGTTTACTCTGCAGTCCTATAAAATTAAATAAAATTAAAGAAATTATTAACCCGCGAAGTAGGTTTTTTGTCAAAGAATTGTTCCAAACAAATCAGTTTATTCAAAATTGAACAAAACGTAGAGTTTGTAAGTCTCGACAAAAAAAAATAGCAATAACTTCAACATTACTAAATACAGTCAGGATTTCAACACTAGTCAGCGTGTTGCAAGAAAATTCTAGTTGTATAAAATGCCTGAAAAACAGAAACGAGAAACCAACCTTTGTTCACACAAATATGAAGTTGATGCAGCATTCAATATTAGCGATATCTTAGAAACGTTTTCATAGTTTACTTCTTTACTGACTGCTTTTGTACGATCGTTCCAGTGGAGTACCTAGTTTACAAGTTTCATCAAATATTTCGAGGCTATAGAGCATTTCGACGTCTTGTAATGATTAGTAAGCTTGTCTCGGAGTTCGTAGGGAGTTCGATCTTCCCGGGTGGGCCATATCTTTAGCCTTGTGCCATATCTAAGTTACGCTTCGTAAATTTTCAGTTCATTCTATAACTGTCGCCTTTTGTTTATGAAAGCGCCCATGATCTGAGTTACTGCTATGCCCTAAAGGATGGTATATAACTTATATAACGTGAAACTGCCGTATTTCTTCTTAATTCTTTTTTGTATCTTTACTATTATAAAAATCTCTGTTTGTTTGGCATATGGCGCAGCTTTCCAATCTGTGTGACATAAGGCTTGTTATCACTAATAACATTGCCGTGTTCATTTCTACTCTAATTCTTGTATACGTTTATCATTGCTAATTTCTTTTTAAATAACGCAATTTCGACTGATTATTCTCCAAAACATCCATATAATTCTCCCGTCTTTGATTCGGGAATTGAAAAGATTTCTTTCCAATTCACAATCTTTACATCTTCTTCTGATCTTAGTACAAACATTTGCGACAATGCAACTAAATTTACAAAAGAAAATGAATTCAGCGCATCAATGATGATAATTACATGTTTAAGATGAAGAGAGGAGAGCCAAAATCGCCATAGAATCTGTCGGAGGTGATGAAACAAAATTCTTCCCAAAGAATCTTGATTGAAACTATTCACAATCATTAGCCATCAATTGTAAAAACGAATTGTGTGATAGATTCCACTCTCATTGAATGAAAAACAAAATAACAGACGATGGGAACTTGTACTGATTATGTCGAAGAGGACGAATTTATTCCTTTCATTGGAGCTTCCTTCAACGTCAGGTTAGTAATTCACGTTAATGGAGGAATATAATCATGTATGAACACTTTAAATATCTTTCAGTTGCTGTGTGATAATATTTGTCGTTGCCCCGCTAAAACAGAAGAAAGTTGTTTTTTTTTCTAAACAATAGAACGTGTTATGTGCTGAGAGACATTGAAACGAGAAGGGTTAATACCAATAACCCGTGGGAAGAATTGAGGATTTAATTCACACATAAACGACTTGATTTGCATGCCGAGCAGTTTGAACAACGGTAAAGTAACGCAGACTTAGGGGGCAATGTTGATTGACACACAGCTGCAAATGCAAGGTGTAAAGCGAAAATTGAATTTCGTACCAAAGAATTTGGAGTTGATTCTCCTGGTTGAAAGTTGATTCCAGACAGAAGTGGGATGGATAAGCCATCCACGCTCACTGAGGAGGTTTAGTGAGAGGTAATGTTATGAGATATCGGGAGAAGGGAATTCCCCAAAATTATGTCAATGAATACGAATGCTCGAAGCAAATTCGCCAGTAGGAGACGAGTCGGGATGTAGAAGACAGAGACGAGACGACAGAGAGTTCGTCCAAGCCACCGGTCATGATACACCCCATGTGATTGCCTCCCAAAGAGAAGTCTCCGATTTCAGCCGTGTGCCAAGCTTTACCGACAGCAGCAAACGAGATTTTTGCCAGGTCGACGATGGGATCACTGCCGATTTATATGCGAGCTGGCGTCTTAATTAATTACATTAAAACTTACTATTATTGAGTAGGTGTAAACAGAATGTTAATACTAGTTATACTAAAAGTAATATTTCCTTATATGGAAAAAAAAATCTGCATTCATCGTCCGAGCAGCCGGTGCCACTGCTTGTTGAAATTGATAAAATCTTTCTGTTCAAACAATTTTGCGGAGAAATAGGTTTCTTAATTCGACTGAATCAACTCTCGTAACAAGATTGGCAGGGGTTTTCTTCCTAAGTTCTTTTTTTGTTTCAAGTAGTGTGGAATGTTAATATCTTGACTATATCATAATTTTCAGTTCGAGGTGCTGTCTCTTTTAGTTGTTGAGGACTGTTGAAAGTCCTCAAGGCATTTGGTTGTCATTATTTGGCACAGATCTCTGTTTGTGATTCCTTAGTGCCAGCTCAGGGAGTTTCGAAAAAAACAAATTGTACACTTTAAGATCTGCAAGTTTTACCAGCTTAGAGTCATTTTTAATCATGTATAGCGGTTGTATAGAGCTGACTGTTTAGAATTTTGACGCTATCCATGGCATTGATATAAATGTCTCGATCAGGACATACCACACGTTGAACAAAACTACACTTAGTGCTGACTATTCTAGTATTAACATTTTTCTCTGTCTGAAAGTAATAGAAACATTTCCAAAAAGTAATTTTTCTCCTAAAATTTAAATCGGGCTGAATATATAAAAAATAAGATTTGGTTTGTTTTTGTATGTTTAACGGTATATCAACTCCGTATATGTCATGTAATGCAGACATTTAATTTCCTTGTGGGGATTTGCTATTCTTTTTATTTTTACTATTAACATCTATTTCTGGGAATATTTAATGTAAAATGTAGTTTT